AAAAAACTAAACTGCTAAATCTGTATAATTTTCCATCTGCTGTTATAAAATTCCCTATGAATATTATTATTATTATTGCTGTTGTTGGTTAATGGGGATTTAAGGTTCATCGTCTACACGAGGATTATTAAGGTTTCTATATATATATATCCTGATTACTTTTAAGTCATACAGCGGTAACTCTCTTAAATTTATCGTAAGTAATAAATACGTATCACCAAACCTCAATAACTAATAATTTGCATTCTCTCACCCAGGATTATGATTATTTAATGACCAGTACAAGTTATGCAGTGCCTGGGATGTGGAAGGTTATGAGATTTGATCCAAGGAAGGGGAGGGTAGTTCCAAGCCCTTAGATCAAGAGACCTTCTATAGCATTAAGGCCCTGTTTCCCCCTTCAATGAATACATGAAGTGAAAGGAGTCTCAAAAAATCCCTGAGAATCAAATATTTGACAAATCCCCATTTAGAGGAAGTTAAGAATTGATGGAATCGAGGATAAACAGAGTTAGGGAGTAAGAATGTTCTTCAAGTTAGAAAGATTAAGTTAGAGACAGACAGTTGTAATTAGGGATAGCCTGAATGGTCTTCAAGATAGAAAGAGGAAGCTAGGGATAGACAAGAGTACTTTAAGGTCGGGAGATTTAGGAATAGAGACGGGGATAGAAAGGAAGACAGTTGTAGATGGTTGAGAAACTTGGGAATAGTCAGAAAGTTGTTTAGGACGGACAGATGAACTTTGTAGACCTCCTCTAGAATTACAATATATTGGCTTAGATGCCTTTAAAAAAAAAACATACCACGGGCGGAGTTAGAACCCGTGACCAGTCACAAAACTCCAGACCGATCGCGGGTTCTAACCCCACCCGTGGTATGGTTTGTGTGCAATCGTGTCATTACGATTTCGTGAGTCATGCCTTTCGTAATGAATTTAAACAAAAATAAAATAAATATTATCACCACAGCTTCTCCCACTGATGATTTTTTTTTGCATTCCAGTCTTTTTTATAATAGACTGCAGTACCTCCCCTCTATTTTTTTTTATCAGGTCTACAACTGGGGAAAGCTGTGTACCCAGGTATGTGAAATTTGCTGATAGTTTCTCAGATTTTTTTACAAAGCTGAAGTAAGACATATGAACAGAAATTTAGCCCTTAAAGGTACTTACAGGGAATTTCAGTCCCAAGAGCGTCTCCATAGTTAATTATGAAGGAAAATTTAGCCTCTTGTTAATTAAGAAGAAAAATTTAGACTAGAACTTAAGGTAATTATAAAGGAAAATTTAGACTAGAGCTTCTCTGAAGAAAGTTTTAACCTTTAGTGTGTTTTAAAGGTAATACTAAAGAAAATTTTAGCCTCTAGAGCATCTTAAAGGTAATTATGCATTGAAGTTTATCCTCTTAGATTTTTTTAAAGGAAATCTTAAATAAAGTTTGAAGTTTAACCCTCTTCAGAGGCAGTGGCACCGGGAAGTCTCTCTCAGTGTATACATGCCTCGAAAGTTGAACTTAATCTTTATTATAGGAGTGAAATGCATTCTTAATGATCACGAGGTTAGATACATGATTATATACACTTGGAAAATCCTAGAGATTAGTACCGAACTTGCACACGAAAATGATTCCTTATGAAAGCAAGGACTCGGCAGGAGATGCAACATTCCCCCAATGAAAAGCACGATAAGAGGCAACACAGTGTCAGGGGCCCAAGATTGTTCAACTGCCTCCCAGCATACATAAGGGGGATTACCAACAGACCCCTGACTGTCTTCAAGAAGGCACTGGACAGGCACCTAAAGTCAGTACCTGACCAGACGGGCTGTGGTTCGTACGTCAGTTTGCGTGCGGCCGACAGCAACAGCCTGGTTGATCAGGCTCTGATCCACCATGAGGCCTGGTCACAGACTGGGCCACGAGGACGTTGACCCCCGAAACCCTCTCCAGGTATACACCAGGATTATACACCAGGTATATACACCAGGTATATACACCAGGTATATACACCAGGTATATACACCAGGTGTATACACCAGGTATATACACCAGGTATATACACCAGGTATATACACCAGGTATATACACCAGGATTATACACCAGGTGTATACACCAGGTATATACACCAGGTATATACACCAGGTATATACACCAGGTATATACACCAGGTATATACACCAGGTATATACACCAGGTATATACACCAGGATTATACACCAGGTGTATACACCAGGTGTATACACCAGGTATATACACCAGGTATATACACCAGGTATATACACCAGGTGTATACACCAGGTATATACACCAGGTATATACACCAGGTATATACACCAGGATTATACACCAGGTATATACACCAGGTATATACACCAGGTATACACCAGGTATATACACCAGGTATATACACCAGGTATATACACCAGGTATATACACCAGGTATATACACCAGGTATATACACCAGGTATATACACCAGGTATACACCAGGTATATACACCAGGTATATACACCAGGATTATACACCAGGTATATACACCAGGTATATACACCAGGTATACACCAGGTATATACACCAGGTATACACCAGGTATATACACCAGGTATATACACCAGGTATATACACCAGGTATATACACCAGGTATATACACCAGGTATACACCAGGTATATACACCAGGTATATACACCAGGTATACACCAGGTATATACACCAGGTATACACCAGGTATATACACCAGGTATATACACCGATCAGTATATATGCCGGTGTATGTAGCTTGATACATTATGAACATATTTCATTTAAAACGTAAAAAAAAAAAAACGCTAGCTCTTAAGGCGTCTTGAGGAAGCAAAACTGAAGAAAACCATAACTACTGTATTTTAACACCATACCCTGAATATTTATCAGCGATTAAATTATATTACAGCAGTAATATTGCTGGTATTAATGTTGGTAGAATTACTGACAATATGGTAAGTGAAATGACACAAGTGCAACTAATGTGACATTTTATTGTGGCAACGTTTCGCTCTCCAGGAGCTTTATTAAGCTGTTACGGCTTGACAATGTCACACGAGTTCCACTTGTGTCCTTTTACCTAAAAATATTATATAAATAGTATTACTAAATCTGGAAAAAAAATACAGGGCAAACTCAACAAGTTTCTTACCAACCAAAAAAATTTATTATAATAAAGTTGGTAGAATTACCGACAATCTGTAAAGTAAAAGGACACAAGTGCAACTAATGTGACATTTATTGTGGCAACGTTTCGCTCTCCAGGAGCTTTATCAAGCTTGATAAAGCTCCTGGAGAGCGAAACGTTGCCACAATAAATGTACATTAGTTGCACTTGTGTCCTTTTACTTTACAAAAAAATTTAATTTGAATCATTGTTCACTGATATTTTTGCAATTTACGTAAATGCTACTAAGTATAAAAGACACAGACAGACGAGACGAGAATTCTGCTCTTGACTCTTGCCCTGGCAGGTCATAGCAGCTCTCCTTACTTACTCAGTCTCCCTACGATCCCCGTTGGGGAGGGGAACCTTTACCAGCGTTGTCTTCACCTTGACTTGCACGATGAGCTACGCAAATCGTGTCAAGATCAAGCCAACAAGTGGTACCGTTGATGATTCAACGAAGATTGCTCTTGCAACTGTTGTTCAAGGAACACTGAAAGTTAAATTCAACACCATTTTGTCTCTGAAAGAAGCATTCATTGTTGTGTGTCACGATGATGCTGAAGCAGAGAAGCTACTCACTACAGATGCCACCACTACACTTACTGCTCAAGGGTTTACTGTTATGTCATCTCCTGCCCTCAAGGCCAGGAAATCAGTATTCCTTAAAAAACTAGACAAGATTCTGACGTCTCAATCACCTGCAGAACTCAAGACATCCATCGAGACGCAAAATACTTGGGCTACTGTTGACAGCATCACAAAAATCCCGAATGCATCGTCCATGCTCAAGGTCACCTTCACTGACGTTAACATGGCTGCCACTGCTCTTGAACGAAGGTCTTGCTGTTTATTACTACTTCATCAGTCCAACTTACATCGAAGCAGAAAGATATCAGTACATCCAACACTGCTGGAACTGTTATTCTTACCATCACACCACCAAAGCATGTCCTGTAAAAGAGAAGAAGTTCTGCACTACATGTGGTAGTGAGGGACACACCTTCAGTTCCTGCACCATTGCTACTCCACCACAACCATCGTGCTTAAACTGTAAAAGTAACGACACCATACACTGGCAGCAAAATGTCCTACACGTAAGGATATTGTGAAGAAAACACAAGAAGCAGCAAAGAAAAAACCTACTAGCAACCACCAACGTATGCAGCAATTGCAAAGATCCAAGCTAATACTACGAAATTACTTCAAGCTACTACTCAGCCAGCCTCCACCATTATCACTCCTCCAGCTTGTGACGTAACCAAGATCACTACTGTCTACTATACGCTCACATGCAGAATATGGCTGTACCTGGATCTTTTAACTCTACCATCAACGAGTTATTTGCACTAAATAATATGCCATCATTTATATTCCCAGCATCTCCACCTTCGGAAGAAATACTCAAATTTACCAAGGATCTAATCAACACTTCTGCATCAGCAGCTCCAACACCACCAACACCTAGTGACGTCACTCCAACAAGGCCTCCTATTCGTCGATCGCCTCCTGCTCGTCGATTGGCTCGTCGTGGCGGCGTACCTCCTTCACCTCCACCCACCACTACTCATATGGACCAATCAGAAGCCACGATTCTCCCACAGTCTTCTACACACTCTCTAGCGGAGACACCAACATTGAAAGAACCTTCAATGCGGCAACCACCAACAAAACCTCTCCAGCTATCTCTCGACGTATTAATATAGAAGACCAACATCAAGATCAATACCTGCACTGGAAAGATATAACTTTTTATACGACTCCTGACCAAGAACCTAACATGGATGTCGACACTTTGTACAAGAAAATAATCGACAGTAGAGTCAAGTTTACAAACCGTAAAGGATCCCACTGCTCCATCACTACTCTCCAGATGACCTTTGACCAGTTACTAGCCAACCCAGCATTTCGACCTAAGATTACAAGACTACAGATCGTTTCCATCCAAAAACTGCACAACATAAGGAATGCCTCCTTCACGAAAGAAACGAAGTAACTCCAGACACACATATAAAAGACACCTGACCAATCAAGAAGCTTGCCTCCCTTGACCACTCCTCCAGCTCCTGCCAGCCGCCAATCAACATCAAGATGCAGCAATTTTTCGTCCAGCAAGTTGCAGTCAGTGCCTGCAGAGCTCCTGTTGTATCTACATCGTCTTTTGTTATCGTTATTGTGGCTTAGCAGTTGGGTCTAGTCCTGACTCTTCTCTCTTCGACTCAAGACATTCCTCTCACCGTCTATTCTTCGCACTGTCCCCACTTGCCCCTCGCCCCTCGTGGGTACTTACCTGTGAGTCCTATCCTATCCTATCCTAAGTATAAATTCTAGCTATTTGTGTATATGTACTGAGAATTTACTTGATTCCCTATCTTGGGAAGTAAAATATTAATTATTGTTAGTAAACAGGTGAAATACAGCCGTAAAATAAATTTTCCGGGTACACGGACCGGGACAAGACCAGCAAACTTTTTAGAACTAAAATTAGTTAAGTCATAACTATAATACTATTATACGGAAAATTATAACACGAAGGAGACAGAGTTGGAAAAGTAGTTCATAATGAAAGTATACGAAATAATTATTAAAATATTTTTAGACTTCGTTGACAATTAGAAAGAAGATATTCGGAGTATTATTAACCACAGAAGGTTTTGAACCCAGAGAGAGAGAGACCACACCAGACCTGGTCGTCAGGATCACACCAGACCTGGTCGTCAGGATCACACCAGACCTGGTCGTCAGGATCACACCAGACCTGGTCGTCAGGATCACACCAGACCTGGTCGTCAGGATCACACCAGATCTGGCCGTCTAGACCACACCAGACCTGGTCATCTAGATCACACCAGACCTGGTCGTCTAGACCACACCAGACCTGATCGTCAGAATCACACCAGACCTGGTAGTCTAGACCACACCAGACCTGGTCGTCTAGACCACACCGGACCTGATCGTCAGGATCACACCAGACCTGGTAGTCTAGACCACACCAGACCTGGTCGTCTAGACCACACCAGACCTGATCGTCAGAATCACACCAGACCTGGTAGTCTAGATCACACCAGACCTGGTCGTCTAGACCACACCAGACCTGATCGTCAGAATCACACCAGACCTGGTAGTCTAGATCACACCAGACCTGGTCGTCTAGACCACACCAGACCTGATCGTCAGAATCACACCAGACCTGGTAGTCTAGATCACACCAGACCTGGTCGTCTAGACCACACCAGACCTGGTCGTCTAGGCCACACCAGACCTGATCGTCAGAATCACACCAGACCTGGTAGTCTAGATCACACCAGACCTGGTCGTCTAGACCACACCAGACCTGATCGTCAGAATCACACCAGACATGGTCGTCTAGACCACACCAGACCTGGTCGTCTAAACCACACCAGACCTGGTCGTCTAGACCACACCAGACCTGATCGTCAGAATCACACCAGACCTGGTAGTCTAGATCACACCAGACCTGGTCGTCTAGACCACACCAGACCTGATCGTCAGAATCACACCAGACCTGGTAGTCTAGATCACACCAGACCTGGTCGTCTAGACCACACCAGACCTGATCGTCAGAATCACACCAGACCTGGTAGTCTAGACCACACCAGACCTGGCCGTCTAGACCACACCAGACCTGATCGTCAGAATCACACCAGACCTGGTAGTCTAGATCACACCAGACCTGGTCGTCTAGACCCACCAGACCTGGTCGTCTAGGCCACACCAGACCTGATCGTCAGAATCACACCAGACCTGGTAGTCTAGATCACACCAGACCTGGTCGTCTAGACCACACCAGACCTGATCGTCAGAATCACACCAGACCTGGTCGTCTAGACCACACCAGACCTGGTCGTCTAGACCACACCAGACCTGATCGTCAGAATCACACCAGACCTGGTAGTCTAGATCACACCAGACCTGGTCGTCTAGACCACACCAGACCTGGTCGTCTAGGCCACACCAGACCTGATCGTCAGAATCACACCAGACCTGGTAGTCTAGATCACACCAGACCTGGTCGTCTAGACCACACCAGACCTGATCGTCAGAATCACACCAGACCTGGTAGTCTAGATCACACCAGACCTGGTCGTCTAGATCACACCAGACCTGGTCGTCTAGATCACACCAGACCTGGTAGTCTAGATCACACCAGACCTGGTCGTCTAGATCACACCAGACTTGATCGTCAGGATCACACCAAACCTGGTCGTCAAAACTAAACCATGTTAGATAAATGAACACATTATATTGCGGCAACATTTTGCCTCCAGGAACTCTGCCAAGCCAGTACCTGACAGAGTTTCTGGAAAGCGAAACGTTGCTGCAATTTATTGTAACCTTCGTTGCATGTGTCCTTATATCTGATGGTGAAGGTAATTCTTTAGTTCTTCCAACATTACAAGACCACACCAGACCTGGTCTAGACCACACCAGACCTGGTCTAGACCACACCAGACCTGGTCTAGACTACACCAGACCTGGTCTAGACCACACCAGACCTGGTCTAGACTACACCAGACCTGGTCTAGACCACACCAGACTGATCTGGTCTAGACCACGCCAGACTGATCTGGTCTAGACCACACCAGACTGACCTGGTCTAGACCACGCCAGACTGATCTGGTCTAGACCACGCCAGACTGATCTGGTCTAGACCACGCCAGACTGATCTGGTCTAGACCACGCCAGACTGATCTGGTCTAGACCACGCCAGACTGACCTAGTCTAGACCACGCCAGACTGACCTGGTCTAGACCACGCCAGACTGACCTGGTCTAGACCACACCAGACTGACCTGGTCTAGACCACATCAGACCTAATAGGGCTTTATAATTAATAACATTTACGATACTTATTTTTAAGATAATTTATAGGATATATAAATCGTGCCGAATAGGTAAAATTTGCTATTTTGGCTTAAATAGTGACGCTCGTCTTGCCGAATAAGGCAGAATTTGGCAGAACGAAAATTTGTGTATGCAATAATTTCGCAAAAAAAATGTATTTTACTGTGTTTATTGAATTATTGCAAACTTATCTAAAATATATTTAGCTGGATTAGGCTAAATTAAATTGAGCTTGTTACAATAATTATTGTATTGCTATAGTATTTTTAACCTTTCCAATTAGTTTTGCAAAATTAAGTAAGGACTTGAGGTTATTTCATTAACATTGAAGTTCTTATTATCTTAACTGCATAAAAAAATGTTACAAAACGTATATAAGAGTTATTTAGGATATATGGTAGCCTATTTTTTAGCATAAATTCGTCATGTTTTTGCATTTCTAATTACTTATGTATTTCCAGCAGGAATCGCAGCTTATTGAGAGCTTCCATGAAGGCTAAACGGGTCATCAACAGGATAATGGGCAAAACTGAAGCCAAGTATAAAAATTGTGAAGATTTCCAGAGCTAGGGTCACTGAGGAGGTGGCGACCAACTCCCTCGGCTCATCCAGGTACCTTCGTCAGTAGTCATAGGCAAGCGCTAAATTCGTAGTGGTTACATAGAGCCTGGGGAATTAGGTTTGATTCAAGGAAGTGGAGAGCAGTTCTAGTTCCATGGATAATGAGTCCTTTATCAACATCAGAGTTGGTTAATCGTGCAGGAAGCTTAAAAGGACACACTTGGGTCATTAAGGTATTTGTCACCTATTCATTGGATTTGAGTGGGACTTTCACATCAGAGCTTATTTCTTGGGTGGCATTGAAAATTGGGTTGGGCAAATGTTTTGTTAGTGGGATGAATTGTAAAGGACCTGCCTAGTATGGGCCAGCAGGCCTCCTGCAGTGTTCCTTCTTTCTTATGTTCTTATGTACACTAATTTCGTGATGTTCAGATTGATTTTCTCAGTTTTAAAAAAATATTAATGTACACTCTGCTGGTTTGGCAAAATGATTGTTGCCAAATAAGCTGAGTCGGCAAGCTGTACTTGAAAAGTACAGGTGTACTTACACCGAAAAGTGTAAGTACACCGAAACCGAAAAGTGTAAGTACACCTTTCGGTGTACTTGAGGTGTTAATTCCTCACTCGGAGTCCTCGATAGGCTTTGAACACAATCAACCAACCAAAAGTCGGTCACAATCACCTGTATCCACCTGATAGCCGACAGAATATAAAGGGATCAAGCTTCCATCTCATAATAATGAACTATGCATTCCTATTACATTATTACATACAGAGCGACAAGCTGAATCTATAGTAGTGATACAGAGGTTGGGGATTGTGAGGTGATTTGGCTAGATCCAAGATAGGGGAGAACAGCTTCAATTTATAGCATAACGATACCGTTTGAGCGACATTTATCTTAAAATATTATATTCGCTGCTCAGTTTTTGATGTATATTCGTATGTATATACTTATGTATTTCAATGTCAACAGGAGCTGCTGATCCTGAAGGCGTTCAGGTGAAGAGTCACCACCACACCCTCGTCAAACTTGGGGTATCAAGCCACCACTTGCATTTGAAGAAACAGTAACTGCCTCACACAGGTTACTTGGTCCACACCTATCACAGGAACATTAAAGGTGACCTAATCAACAGGTGTCACCTGACCATCAGATGTTATCAGGCATCGATTATTGCCTAAGGATTAGAAATGACATAATCAGCTTTCAATTACTAAAAACAAAACATTTTTTTCTGTTATTTCCATCTTTTGTCAGTTGGTTGGTCAGTTAGATTTAAAGCCTAGCGACTATACGAGGGTCATTAAGGCTACATATCACCTGTAAACCACCAAGGATAGTGATTAGAACAAACTCTTAGCGTACATTCACGTGCAAAAATTCGAGTAATTATAATAAAATATTAAGGCTTACTAAAGTAGCCACAAACTGCTGCTTTCGGAAATTAACTAGAATTTTAGGTACATAGAATTTCCCCAAATTGTACATATTTCTAAAATTGATAACACTAGCTGATCATTTATATATATACAAGTCACCCTCCCCTCACACACATACATAATCAACAGCAATAAGTATATAACTCCTCCAGATTTTTAATCAATGTAGTGCCCTAGAAAGCGTAAAACATAAACAGTAATCCAAACTAAGACTAAAATTATTTCTAAACACGAGTCGCCAACTACCTACTTTAGATGTAAATGAAATTTTTATGAAAGATAAACTATCACTATCAGTCTTTTATATTATGGTTCATCGAATACACATCCAAATATGCGTCTACCATGACCTTATGCTACTAGAGTACCTCGTTCGTGCACTGGGATGTAGAGGACAACACTGCTGCTTAAAAAAATGCATTTCATCATAGGCTACGTAACAGCTCTAATTGCAAGATATTTGTTGATTTTGGACGTTAAAAACCTGTCAGACTCTTCGTTGTGTCGGTGAAGGTTACAGTTCACCTGTAAACTATCCGACAGATTGTATTAATGTTGTTAGAATTACCGACAATATGTTAGGTAAATGCACCTAAGTGCAACTAATGTGACATTTTATTGTGGCAACGTTTCGCTCTCCAGGAGCTTTGTCAAGCCTTTACAAACGATATATAGATACAGAGGGTATATATAGGTTTAGAGTGAGGTGTAATACTAGTGGTAGTAGCAGTAGTAGTAATATTAATTGTAGTAGTAGTAACACACTATGGTAGAACAATGAACTCTCATATGAGTAAAAAATTCTGAGTCTTTTACTTGGGTAGCATAAAAATGGGTTAGACAAATATTTCTGATAGGAGTTGGATGTGAGAAGGTCTGTTTCAGTGTTCCTTCTCTGACAGGATATATGCAGGTGAAACAGCAAGGAACCTCGAAACACGCCTCAATGAACACATTAACGTATGTAGGAATGATAACTTGAACATCGCCTGCGTACAACACCAAAATTCCACCAATCACCTCATGAAATTCAACGACGCCCGACTAGTAATCAGAGAACCCAATTTCCGCAGACGTAAATGCCTTGAATCATCATTAATCGCTGTTTCTAACACAATCAAGCGAAATAAAGACAGCTTCATCATCTCTGAAGTATTAGCAAAAATCCTCCGCAAAACAATAAACCCCTGCCATCACATAGTCTCTGTTACTACACAAGAACAGACCTTCTCAAATTCATCCACTATCAGGTATATTTGTCTAACCTATTTTATGCTACCCACGTAAAAGCTTTTATAACCATTTATTCATGTATTTACTACTATTATTACACTTCACTCTAAGCCTATATATACCCTCTGTGTCCATGTATTGTTTGTAACGGCTTGAGAAAGCTCCTGGAGAGCGAAACGTTGCCACAATAAAATGTCACATTAGTTGCACTTTTGTCCTTTTACCTAACTACCTGTAAACTAACTTTAAAAATAGACTTAGTGTTCAAAGCACTATCGATGTAATGAGATATGCACCTATTAGTTTATATACAAAGATATATACATATCAATGTATTTACATAAATATATACCTTTGTATATTCACAATGAATGATACATACCATTCATTGCATATACCGCAAGGTATATAACTGTGTACTACCATAGAGAGTATTATGCTCACTGAATATTGGTGCTAAACTTTAGTGAACAATAAAATGATATAGGAAAGTACTGACAGCTTCATTAATGTCCAGACATCTTATTCACAAAGCACATCACTTCATTGACTAAAGCAAAGACAATGTGCAGAAATTTATACAGGTTAAGTACGTCAGGAAACAGGACAAGTGTTTTCTGACGCGGGTCTTAGATCGTGAATTCGAAGAATAGAAAATCATAATAATGTTGCCGGAAGAATATACCAACACAAATTTGAAATGATAATTGGAAGACGGTTTTAGGACAGACTAAAATGTTACCTATCAACTTTTCCTTCATAATGTGTGTGCTAGTTGTGAATTGCAGTCACCATAAATTGATTTAATGAGAGTTGTTTTCTGTAGGAATGTATATTGCTCCTTCCCTGGTACGAATATTGAACCTTGGTTTGTCACGTTCAAGACCTGTCGACTACACGAGCGTCATTAAGGCTGCATTTAACCTGTATACTACATGTAAGAATAATCCCTAAACTAGGGAATAAATTTAGTGTATATGCACTGAGCGTAGCACACCTCGGTGTACAGACAGATTTGTACTTATCTTCTAGTTTATAAACACCTTGAGAGCCACACTCGGCTCAAAGCCTGGGTACTGTACACCTTATTAAACCTAAAATATCAAAATTTCGTGAATTTAGATAGTCTGTAGTTGCAATTCTAAGTGCTTGAATTATTATTATAACCAAGGGGGAAGCACTAAACCCATAGGATTATACAGTGCTTGGGGGGGGGGGATGGAAGGTATTCAGGTTTAACTCAGGGAACTGGAGCACAGATCCAGTTCCCTAGATCGAGAGCCCCTCACCAGCATCAAGGAACCTTCCTTGAGGGGTAAGTGCTTGAAGCCTTGCATGCAGCAGTACGTTGTCTTCTCAACGATCATATCTTACATGTGACTTCTATCACCAGAACAGGTGAATACCTGGTACTTTCAGATCATTCAGAGCTATAATACTTAACTTTTATGTAACTTGTAAATGGTTTGATATATATATTGACTATAAGAACATTCGTAAATATCAAAATATATTACCCATGTAAGTTAGTATAGTTCTACAAGAAAATTTATGAACCTAGCAAGTCTTAATGAGCTTGTATCAGCTAAGAGTCATTTTTTGAAGTATAACCAAAACTCGCGAAATAGTTTAGTTAGAAAATTATTTACTTAATTTTTTCATGCAGATAAGATCCTTAACAATTTAAGTGCTTGTGAAAAAATCACAGGAATAAAAGGCACAGGACCACATGCTACATTTCTTGCAAAATGGTGATGGCAGCTGTATATATTAAACACAATTGAGGGCTTCCTATATTCATTAATTAAGGATAATCAATGCTTCAGAATTCTTGCATAGGATGTATCATAGTGCTTAGTCTTTTGTACACAGGTTCCCCTGTTAGCAAACCGGAGGACCTTAAGGTTATAGATTGTTCATGTTTGTTAAGGTATTATTAGTATTTTTTAAGCCAGTTTCCTCACGTAAAGACTGTTTCAAAGAATTGAGGATTTTCTCAACCAAAACGGTTAGCTAATCCCCATTGAGCCCAACAGTAATGACTTTAAATAATCTTTACGTGATGATCAGGTTAACCACAGTTTTGTTAAACTATTACTTTCACAAAGGATTTCACACAAATTCATCAAGTCTACTACAAATCATTGTACTTCAAACTGAAGAATTATATATTTAAGTTATTTCTCCTTACACGAAAAATTAAAACTGTATTTAAAATATCACCTATCATATCAAAAAAATAGTAGTTTTTATAGTACGTACTTTGGAATAAAAATGGCGCATATTATATAATAACTTTGTGTACTGTGGAATGTATGAATGATAATGAACTTCAGTTAAAAGTACATGTAAAATATGCTACGACTGTAATGTTGATACAAGAATACCGAACTTTACCTATCACTTCTGCCTTCCTTAAACTTGTAATATTCGCCAGGACGAAGTCCTGATTCGGGTCCCAAGTTTTCGTCGACCTGTTGTATTTCTGCCTTGCTTGTTGCTATAATATTCGTCAGGACAACAATCCTGATTCGGGTGTTAAATCTTCCAACGACCCGTATTATAAACCATACCACGGGCGAGATTTGAACCCGCGGTCAGAGAGTCTCAAAACTCCAGACCGTCGCGGGTTCAAATCCCGCCCGTGGTATGGTTTGTTTGCAATCGTGTCATTACGATTTCGTGACCCGTATTATCATCGTCTTGTGCTCGTAGCTTCACAGTTAACCTTATGTACTGCTGCAGTAATGCGGTGCATCGCGTGAATCACAATCACCTCCATACAAGTGTTGTTAAGGTTATTTATCTTGAAACACCTCGTCTAACCCATGGTGGTGTCGCCTTTGGATTATGAAAACTCAACTTGATTTTTCTCCACACTTGCAGCCTTAGATCTTTGCTATCAAACTGAACGTGAATATTACTCACAGCTTTTAATTTTTCTGATGATTAAATTAGTCTAATTAACAGCTGGATGGTAATATTCATGCAAGGACAAACTAAAATATAATATTTTGATAAAAGTAAATTATTATTACTTATTGTGATTACAATGAGACCTATTTATAGAAGAAACATGTATTTATATAGTTGATAAAGCATTTTGCTTAAGTTGGACTTTTTTCAATTATGACAAAGTTAAACAGATTCATAGTGATAAACTTGTAATATTTGAAGCATTTATTTGATAATTCAATGGGAAGTCATTTCTGTTGCTAATTCTTATTCTTCGACTTATTGCTTTGCTATTATTTGTTCTAGAAAATTGATCTAATGTTATTGCATATATATTTTTCCACATGTACTGTATTTCTCAATACTATATCAGAAATAAATTGCTAAAAATTTCTTGCAAAGCCTCTTTATTTATGAGTAAATAATAAGCTTAAATGTTATTTCAATCAAGATCACTGATGAATTAATCCGTCATATTCAAACTCAAGAATTACAATTTATAAGATAAATATTTTAGATATTTTTTTAAATGGTAGAATTTATCTTGACTTCTTCTTCACAGTAGTTACCATGTATTGATATATTGTACATGTATATTTTAGCCATTTGTTGTTGAAATATTCATATGGTCAATAACATATTAACAGCCTTAGCTGAGCAGCGCTATATAATTTTTTGTAAGGAATTGTACGTATAGAACTATAAACGTAAGGTCATATTGTACAATAGCCAGAGACTGCAAGTTCAGTCAACATTTTTATGAAGAGGCTGAGCCTATGCTGCACACGTGAGGAATTTCTGAATATATACCCACTTGTTATTTAATATAATGTGGAGTAACCCGTATAGATGTAATATGTCCATTCCTCTCCATGTGGCATCCACACTTAGAGACAATATTACCTCTAGGATTATAGTGTAATTCTAGAATAAATGTCTTCTAGTGCAGTAGATGAGTTTTATATAAACAGTATTTCCCTTCACTACATATTCATAAAAGTGCCAAATTGTAAGTTCTGTCTGGTATGACATGACTTAAAAAAGAACCTCATGTATTGTAAGCTTGAAGTAACATGACTTAGAAAAGACACCCTCTTGTATTTATAAGTCAACAGTGAGGCAAAGATAATAAATTATAACCCCCGTTGCTATATTATATATATATATATATATATATTATATATATATATATATATATATATATATATATATATATATTATATAATATGAGTTTCTTCACGGGGTGGACTGGTAAGCCAGCGGAAGTCCTCTGTGCAATGACCACAAGCTCCACTGTACAGGTAATCCATATGACTAAGAACTGCGTCAGCAAATATTTTCCCATTCTCCTGTCCAGCAAAATACACTCTCAAAGCTTTTTCCAACCATCATGAACTACAAACTGCTAAAAACCTAGATTTTAGATTCTAACATTTATAAATTCCATGTTGTTAACATGGTGTTGAGAAGGCATTCCCGAAACCCATGTCCTGGTCGTGCGAGTCAAACCCTAACAGATAATTCACATCCATATTTAAGATAACATAAGAGTAATATGCCATACCCAAATATAATAACCCATTCCTGCCTGGTGTGCCCTGTTTGACATTGCCGTTCCTTGACTGATCATTTGGGATACTACTTTATATCTTGCCTGACAGTGTTGATCATTTCACAATAACGTGGAAGTTTGATAATTAAAACCACTAATAACCAGAACCTGACCCAGTATCATTGGGCCAAACAGTACGAATGTTTCCACTGAAAACGCTATGCTAGTATAATTACGTTGTTAAACGGTGACACATGTTCAGCCCAAGGATGGAGGAGCCTAGATCGTTCCTCTAAGCGTATGACACGCTAATGAATTATACCTGCAGTGAAAAAGACTGTGGTCTGGTGCATAAATATTGATAATAGTGGGTTTGCTGCTATGAGACTGTTTGGTTAATGGCCGAGTCCCAAGACCCTGAGCCTAATCACTAAGCTAGTCTCTAAATCTTAGTATTTAAGCCTAGTCTAAGCCTAGTTTCTAAAGCCTAAGCCTAGTCTCTGGGCCTAATCTTCACGTTTAGTTTCTAAGCCTAGTATCTAAGCCCAGTAAACTAATGGATTTTTAAGGATTTTCTCCTACCTGGATCCATATCTCTCGACAGCTTTGTGGAATCTGTTTCTTATCTCCACTTGTACATAGCAAGGAAACGTGTCCTCTGAAAAAATGGATGTGTTAGACTGCTCAATTAAAAAATGATGCAATGGCTTCAAAATACAGCTCTCATTTTCATGGCAGTAAAAAAAATATGGAATAACTGGTGCTAATTCCCTTTATTCACTCTTATAGAGAGCCAACCTAACTTTAAATGTGTCATAGCAAAAGTGTCAAATTATGTTAATAGTTTAAGTATAGGTTTCTTTGTAAATAGGTCGTATTTTGGTGTATGTGGAGTTAGCCAGCTCACGGAAGTAGTTTAAGATTGATCTAGGTGCTTAGACTGTGCGAAATGATGCAGTTATGTTATAATTATTAAAGTCATGATCTGTATGGGTCAAACTGCTCACAGGAAATGGGAAGAAACTAGAGTTGGTCCCCCCAAAAAACAAAGGAAGGCAATTCCTATTCCTTGGATCAAGGGGTATGCACCAACGTCAAGTCAACCCTCAGTGATGAGTGAATTTACACACACTGAGCCATAATGTAGAAAAGGTTTACTGGATCCCAGATCAATCTCACACTTCCTTCCTCACCAAGCTGGTGTTCGAATTCGTTTTAGCTGATAACATTTTGAGTGTCAATCTGTAAATTGAAAAAAATATACTTTACATAAGCTGAGTAGAAATGGCTTCATGCTGTCAGTTTTATTAATATTTATGTATAAACAACTGAAAACGTTATTCTTTACCTATTTTGCGCACAACTCTATTTTTTATTTTACACTGGGTTAGAATAATGAAAGAAACTGCAAAGTCCTTTATCTTTGTAGTGAACATTTTATCTATTGATAGTAGTTTTTGATACTTATATATTAGAAACGTCTACATAATACAAAGTAGATGATATATAATAGACGCATACAAGTAATCACGCCAAGAAATAATTTCCTTAAGTATTACAGTCATGTGGCGATAAATACACTAAGTGACTCCTGACGATACAGGAATTAGAAGATTTAAAATATAGTTTATACTATATATACATGTATATATATATACACATTACAGGGTTGTGTAAAATGAAACACAGTATTAATGATAGGCCTCTACAAAGTCTGATTCAGCATTACTTTAACTCTTAAACTATCCCTTACCTGGCAACTTAATGTGTAGAACATGGCATAATTATGTAACGGCTATACATAAAAATATAGTGTTAGAGTATCTATATAATTGTCCCCCTGCTAAAGTATACTCATTTTTTTTCTGGCTATATAAATAATGATGTTTAGGGATATGTGATACAATAGACATGATGTATGGTATTGTGTGATATACAAGGCATGATGTGTGTGTGTGTGATACACCAGACGTAATTGAACACACCAGACATAATCAATATTGTATGATACCGGACATGATATGTAGTGGGAGAATAGTCACAACAGTGTTGCTGGAGCTGTTCACAAATCACCCTCACTTAGAGAGGAAATGTTGGTTGACGTTTTGGTCCGTCCTGACTCACTTTCATGCCACGTCTGCTCTGAATTGATGAGGGTCAACCACGGATCAAAACATCGGCCAAACTTTTCTCTCTTAAGTGTGTGTCATATGTGAATTATTTACAGTGTTGTATATGCTATATGTAGTGCTATATGATGCACAAGATTGAATTTATGGTGTTGTATAACACACCTGACACACACCTGGTGTTGTGTGATATCAGACATGACTTCTGGTGTATGATAATCCTGATATGATATCTGTTAACGTAGGACACATCAGACATGATGTGATAAGTGATACACTAGATATGATCTTCAGCGAAATAGATCATATATGACCTAGGGCGTTGTATATACTCCAGATGTGACCTAAGGAGATGTCAAATACACCATTGATGTATTATATTCATCAGACATGATCCATGGTACGGTATGATGAGCCAAACATGATCCTTGTTGTATGATAGACCAGACGTAATCTATAGTGTTATATAATACACCTAAAAATATCATCGGTGAACGATACACAACTTTTTTTTTGCCACATTTGACATTTTTTATGAAAATAATTAAGAGAGATTTAGGGGTGACTATTACCATTGGTATATTTGAATTACTCGATTCAATGATATTTTGAAACTCACTGCTGGGGGGAGATTCGAAATGACAGTTCATTAAGACAGCTTTATAGTGACGGAATACATAACCAGTATCACTTGACTCACGATTGAAAAAAAAAAAAAAGAAACATACCACGGGCGGGGTTAGAACCCGCGATCAGAGTCTCAAAACCCCAGACCGACGTGTCTAACGCGTCAGTCTGGAGTTTTGAGACTGATCGCGGGTTCTAACCCCGCCCATAGTATGTTTTTTTTTTTCAAATATCACTTTCAAAGGCATGTTCCTTGAAAGCATTCAGGCTATTCTATTTGGTTCGCTAGTTTGAAAGCTTATCGACTGCAAGAGGGTCATGATAGCTGTTTTGTCACCTAAGAACTTGGGTTGATCTTGTAATATAGGGGTAACAATAATCTATACAGAATATACTATAGTTAAAATATTCAGAATTATTAATTTGATTTATAATTTCGATTTTCTGCCAGGTGGAGTTAATGCTATATGCACAAATGTGTGATAAATTTCTAGTCACATTATATATATATATATGTCGTGCAGAATAGGTAAAACTTCCGATTTTGGCTTAATTAGCAACGCTCTTCTTGCCGAAAAAAAGCAAGCGAAAATTTGTGTATGCAATAATTTCGCAAAAATCATTCTGAACCTAACAAAAAAAATTGTGTTTATTAATAAATTATTGTAAACTTATCTAAAATATATTTAAATGGATTAAGTTAAATTGCACTTGTTATAATAAGGTTAGGCAAGTTTTTTAAGGTTCTTTTGTACAAAATTATTAATATTTACATTAACATAAATGAAAAAATATATCTTTATGCGTATAAGAGAAAAGTTTAGTCTTTAATTGTAAAATGTATCTCGAGCAGTTGTGTCTTAGTAAATACTGAAAACAGGAGTACTGTACAGAGCTTATGAAGTACACCCCTGTAATTACCTACAGTTGTTGGTCCCTCCCTCTCCATTCATGGATTATATATATATATATATATATATATATATATATATATATATATATATATATATACACACACACACAGCCCCATTAGGTTTGTAATGCTCAAGTGTTGTGTCACAGAATACTAATGTAAAATATTTGCATTGAGCCCAAGATGTGCCTCTTGAACATCTAGAATTTGGCCCTAAGGCCTTTTTTGGGTTTTTCCTCCCTTTGTCACAATGATGCATGTATAGGTACGAGTATAATGCGTACACGCCCATGCATCAAACACTTCTTGGTTCTCCACTCACTGTTGTCTCTTTTGGTGTTAATTACAAAGTCCCCCATAGTTTCAAGTCTTTTATACTACCGATGAGGACTATGTGAGCAATGAGAGTTTCCCATTTTCAGATCTTTTGCATTATCTACAAGGATTCAGAGTTTGATAGCAACTAATAGTTTCAAGTCATCTGTATTACCTATGAGGACTCTCAGCTGTGCTAATGAGAGTTTGAATCTGTATACATATGAGGAGGGTGTTAATTACAAGAATACCCTATAGTTTCAAGTCTTTTGTAAAACCTATGAGATACCTTGTAACATCGTCTTCTGTTGTCTTAAGCATTTACTGCTGACCCTCACATATACTTACAAAAAATCTTTATTGTATGGATCTTTTACCATTTTATGTTTGATATACAGTATATATATATATATGTACGCTGTGATCTTTGTATCATCATTATAAAGATTGTTATACTTAATTTTGTTTCATTTAAACCTTATTCGTATAGGGTATGTTTATGACCCGGTCATTAGATCTGGTGAGAGGCTGGGACAAATGTCATATCCATCCTCTACAAATAGCTGAGATTTGCTGCCACACTAGCCCTTTGTTACGGCCCCC